CCAAACCAGAGATATCCAAGTGTATAATTAATAGGAAGTGAAATATCTATCAGCCTTGTTACTGATATCAAAAGGTCGGCCACTGCTTGGTATAGAATCAGACAGTTAATAGTGGTCTTCAGAGAGTTATCTGTTCGTATGATGTGGATGAGGACGGAATTGCCGAATATTGAACCAAGAAAAGGAATAGTAAACGGCAGCATGAAGTCAATATTGGGTACCTCAATGACGCTTGCTGCATTCTCTATGAGAGAAATATGGAAATAATATGATTTATTTTTTTTTACTTGCGCATCATTTTAATGAAATGCGTGCGTGGAACGTAACAAATATACCAAGGTGTTACATTGTGAAATAGGGGCATAATACGGACAGAAACGATCTGCGCGATCTTTGCCTTCTGTTCCCTTTTTTATGACATCATGTTTTTTTAGAAACGAACTAGTACGAAGCCCATAAGAATCTCTTTTGGTCATCAAGCACACTTGAATGGTTTCTTTGTGTTGTTTTCTTCTTTCACGCACGCCTTTTGCAATCGGCACTACGCTTAGATGAGACCGGATAAAAATTCAAAAACTAGAGGCCAGAAACCTAGAAAAATTAAGCAATAGCATAGTAATAAATCACCTATCGATGGTTTAACGTATATAATACGAGCGGAGCGGACATCCTGGTCATTGCTCGTATTTTTCCTCGCCCACGGGGCTCTGGAAACAGACCCCGTGAATGCTACGTAACTCGCAAAATATCCGCGCGTTTTATATGTTCAAACCATCGAGTAAGGCGTATTTCTTGAATGGTTTAAAAGAATGAAGATGGTTACTGAATTTTATGGAAGTTAGCATGTACACAAAATTTTCTTACTTCCCGGCACAAAGTATGACTTCTCTTTTAGCCGCACACACCATGCGTAATCAACAAGACATAATAAAACCCAAAATCTAAGAGTTTTGAAGAATGATATTTTTGAGAATAGGAAAAGAAGTGAATCAGAGTTAAATACTATGAAAAAAGATTTTGTGGTAACAGATCTTATCAGTACCTGTGTAACGAAGGGTAGAGTTCATTTCGCGGGTCTGTCTTCACGCTATGTAGACTATCAAACATCAAAGATCGTATTGGCTTTAAAAAATATTTTTTACTCAGTGAGTTTCTTGAGGCAATACCTGGCTCGGTTTTTTCACGAAGTGCTTTCCTTACAGAACGATCTGCGATCAAAAAGACTTCCTTTTTCCGGTATAACCTCATAACAATTGATTATAGTTGAGTGGTTTAAAGTGAAGGTTGATGGGAAAGTTAGTTTATTTATATATAGAAGTCAAACACTACGGTCTATATTGAATTTGATTACCGCAAATTTGATTCATAATGCATAAAGTGACTGCAAGAATTTCTCCCTCTACTGTGATTACAATCTCATTAAACTGACTTAAAGCTTTCAAGCGTATGCCCAGATATTTACCTCAAACATTCTCTACAGCGAAACCTCTTAGGAGATTACAGCGATTATAATATAGTAGTAAAGCAAAGACGAAAAATTCCTTTCGTGTATATTATTTAATCATTTTCATGTTTTTTGTGATAATGACATATATTTGATTTTATTTCTTCATTTTATTAGTAATTTATTTGGGATTAAAATCCATATAGGGGATTTCTAATTTGAAACTCCCATCGTACAAATATAAATTAAAAATTGCAGTTTTTATTTCCGTAGTGTGTGGCACTCTTCAAAATAAACATAACTTTGTAATCATAAAATTTTGACTGCTCTTCATGCTCTCTCTTACTTGAAAAGCAACTGAACTTTCATTGTCACATAAAACAATGCATATTTTGTTAACTTTTTTTTTCATTTCTGATTAGACCGAACTTTGTGTTTTTAATTTTTGCTCCCGTTCAGGGGGGAAGATTTGAGAACCGTTTCAAAGCTTTTACTTCGTTCACGAAATAAAATTACTTGATGCTTCCTTTGTGTACCACATCTCTTAAAGTAATTTCCATCGGCCCGTGGGTGCGTCCCTATTTGATTGCTTAAAACCAGCTGGCAAAGAGTGTTTACTGTGTATGAAAAAGATTTCATACAAGTGCAACGCCAACAAACCAATTTCTAATGCTGGACTTACTTTGAATTAAAGCTGTCTATTCAAATTTTAACTCTAGGGTCAGCAATAACAGTCACTTCATAAAATTTTTTAGCCTTTTCATATTTGCTGCAACTCAGTGCTTCGAGATCGAAAGGGAATAACACGATGAATTTCAATTTTCCGAGAACATCGAACAAACAGAGCCCTAAAAGCCTTTCGAAAGCTCTGATTAAATGTGAAATAAATGTAAGGATTTAAACTGCTGAAAAGAAGAGTCAAGTTACTAATGTCTACCGAAATAGTAGATATGGGAGTGATTTTCAAGATCTGCAAAACAAGTACGATTTCTGAGGGACCCCATGAGATCATGAATAATACTATAATCACAATCATCATCAAGGTAACTTTTCTGGCTGTCTTTATTGCTTCGGCTTGTCTTTGATTTTGACTGTTCCCTTCTCCTGGAACCTTCCGTGAGCAAAGTTTATAACACACAATCGCATAAAAAGCTGATATGATAATAAGAGAAAAAAAAATGTTTGTTGCACAAAAAACAAGTGTTGTCCCCGAAAATGTAACACCGCAATAATAACGTTCCTCATCATTTGTCACTTTTCCATGCACAATGATGTCTGTAAAAGAAGCTAAAGACCAAATTCCAATCACAGATATCGTTTTTTTCAGATGTTGAGACAGAGGAGAACATTGCAAAGGACGAGTTACTGCAAATAAACGTTCCACTGCAATCAGTGTCAAAAGCCATATTGAAAACACTGGTGTAGCAAATTGGAGCAGAAAATAGGACTTGCAAGTAATGAGACCAAGTATTCCTCCAAACCAATAATACCCCAAGACAAATTCTTTACGTAGTGCCAAATGCAGTAATCTTATTACTGTAATTAAAATGTCAGCCACTGCCTGGCATAAAACAAGATGATTGGTGGTTGTCTTCAGAAGGTTCTCTGTTCGAATGAGGTGGATGAGAACAGAATTGCCAAAAAAGGAACAGAGAACAACGAGAGCAATCAGGACTTTGAGAAACAACTTGTCCTCCACACTACCGTCATCTTCATCGAGGCTTGTCATATTTCCTATGACAGAAGAATTGAATTTTATTTTTTCCAAAAAAAGCTAAATGTGGTTGCATTGTACAAGCTTGTGGATGTTCGGTGAATATTAACTATAGACATTCTTAGCAATAAATAGTTCTCAATTATCGAAGCACACAATGTCATACTGGTCCAACAATTTGCGATCCCCCTTCAAACGCTAACAGCTTTTTCCATGTAATTAAGAAAATTCCGATCCATCGTATCAAACACTACAGATGTAAGCTGTGTATGTCAAAGGTAGTATATAACCTATGTAAGGTCACAAAGTGACTCTTTAAAGCAGGTTCCTACGAGCAAGTCTTATTACCTCTAGAACGAAGCCAATTACTTGTGTTCAACAAATTTCAGCTTTCGAGGACTCTGCTGTTTGGTGGAAATGTGGTGAAATTCTTGTCATCAGAGTATCTTTCCCTGCGAAAAACAATTTGGTGCCAGAGAAAAATTGATTCCAAAACTTCGAAATATTTCTGTTGTTCGCTTTTTCGACGATTTTTCTCAATCCCCAGAAGTGTTTTCCTTTTAATGGATTATTGTTTTGTCTGTTCTGTTTTGTTGTTGTTGTTAACATCAATAAAAGAGTGGTATTGTACACATTGAGGGTAAATGGAAAATTTAATTGAAAACTGGAAATTACATAAAAAGGGTTTATTACAACTCTTCCTTGTCATCATAAATTCAATTAAGTCTCCAACTAGAGTAAATAAAAGTATTAATGTCAACCATGAATAATTTACCATGAAATATAAAACCAAAAAATAATTAAAATGAAATTGGTTTTATCAATTGCCTCGCAGAAATGAAATGAACGCCTTTGAATGTATGCAGCTGTGAGTACTAAGATCATTCATATGTTTTTTTTTTATGGAAAAAAAATGCCACTTCATGACCATATTTCTTTACTAGGTAACAACACAATATGTGATATTATTATTTTCGTGAAGGAAAAATTCTAAATTGTATTGGAAAATCTTCAGCTATTGATTTCTGTAGATGTAATGTAATGTAATGATAAATATTTATTCATCTAGCAATTACTACTTTTTTCATTGGGGATTTTTTTCGGGTAAAAACTTATCTCAAAAGGGACCAATTATATCAACTAGAAAATCCCAACTCTTTTTCCGGTTAAAATAATTAATATACGGGATATGCTCAGCGTGATCTCTTTTATTTTCTGCTCCTATTTGCTATACGGTTGCTTTCAGTTTGGCTTTTGATAAAAATATTTCTCAACGTTTTAATTGATGAAAAAATAAAACTAATAAGAATGCAGTGGTATGCTGCTGGTTTTACTTTTTGCAGTCATTTCCATAAACTTCTTTTGCCTTCTAGGATCGACCTTGTCTTCACCGTGAACTTTTTTTTTTTTTAAACAGCTTTATTGACCATTACACATGTTACATACAGCAAATTAAACAGCCAAGAAAAAAAATGAAATATATGTGCAAAGTCATTTAAAGTGATAAGGTCAAAAGGGAAGGTGCGAACGGGACGCGAGGACCCATGCGAGGCACCTCCCATGGTACAAATAATAATTAAAACACGATCAACCAAAAGACGCCAAATTTAATGCTAACTTTTTTGATAGCATACGATTCCGTCATCAGTATCATCATTATGGGGATAAGGGAAATACACCTAAAGGCTGTGAGATATTCTGATAATGGAAAAGTGGAATATCAAGATGGAATAGTAAAACTCTTTATTTCATAGGTACTGAGATTTACCCACAAAAATCGTAGTGAATAAAATTCGTACTGATTCTAAATGTAGAATCAGGAGTACGAACGACAAAATTTCACTGTGAAAAAATTATCGTTCGCCCAATCAGCAACGCGAACGACGAAATTTCACTAATGATGAATGAACGTACTGAAGAGAACGTCATGCGAGAGCCGTTGCACAAAACCCGCGCGCTTTGAAAAATGGCCGAGGGAAGGTTCGCTTCTGTTTACTCAGTTGAAGAATTCATTTTAGAACACGAAAACAAAAATACCGCTCAAAAAACTGAAAGAGATGTAAGATTGCTTGAAATATTTTTGAAAACGAAGGAAGAAGACAGGAAAATTGAAGATATTCCAGCGGCTGAGTTGAATGAATTCATTAGCGAATTTATTATCTCCTAGAACTACTTTTTACGCTTTTCATCGCCCCATTTGTGCTATTTGTCTACCAAAGACAACACGAAAAAATCTCAGCATCTATGAAATAATGCTTGTACGATTTTCATTCACTCGTTGATACGTATCAGAAAACTCACTCGTTCGCTGCGCTCGCTCGTTTGTTTTCTGATACTACACAACTCGTGAATAAAAATCGTACGCGCGCATTTTCCATGAAGTAATCTCTATATCCCCCACCCTTCGAGGCCCACCCTCACTAAGTGGGTCTCATGTCTTGTAAGGATTTGTAGAGAATGCGTACATACTGTCCGACCGGAAATAGTAGAGGAAAGTAGTAGCAACAAGCTAGTTTTCACAAAGGTTTCTTTGGTTTATTAAATGAAATATAGAGAGTTGTGAGTCAAAGTTACGAGTATTCACTGTATAATATTTCGATATTCAGTATTTTTTTTACTATGATATCACAGTCAGCCCAAAACCTAATAAGTTTCAGAAAAAAAACACCAAGCCAGTATTCAGATTTCATTGAGGATACGCATTTTCTCTCATCTTAATTTTTAAACGTAACCTTACTTTTAATATACAGTCCACGATACATGTCGCACAGCATTTTAGCAATTTCTGAAAATACAGGACTTTTTTCTATAGGCGATCAGTTGGTTTGCGATCGGTTAAAATTGTTTTTAGAGGCAAGAAATACGAATAATTTTGGAATGTAATCTCATTTTCTAGCTGTGCCTTCCGTATGTAGTTTAGAGCAACACATAAAATGTAGGAAAATATTTGACAAAAAGGAAGACTGACATTTTTGCTTGTTGATAATAATTTTTAACGTAATTCTTAATGATATGAATCGTTAACGTCTGAACGATGGCGTGCATTTCCCATGTTTCATTTGTTTTTGACCAATCAGATGGTTCCCTTCGAATTTAGTGGTTGCCATCACTCTTGACGCAGTGTGACGTTATTCACTTTGACTTGACATCTTAAAACATGTGATCATAAAATATTTAAGAGTAACGAAACCCTCCTTTGTTCGGCGAAAGACTTTTGCTCGTATTATGCTTTTCACACTGAGCTACTCACAGCAACACTACATGAACGATCACACTTGTCTTTAATATTTGCTCAAATTCGAATCTTTGTGAACGAAGGTGAAGAAAATTGCAATTTTCCATTTTCTTTGTGCATTTACTTAAGACATTTTTAAATTCATGCCGTAACTGTTGGTTAAAAGCGAAATAGATATTAGGATACTGCTACTGTAAAGAATCGTCTGCCAAGCCACAAATAAACATGGGTTAGAACTCGTTTTGATATAACCCCAAACATGCATGCAAGGCTAATCTAAAAACATACGGAAGCCGCCAACACAGAAGGAATAAAACAACAGCCATAATCATCATACGGTTAACTTTTCGTGCTATTTGAAGAACTTGTGCTTGTGCTTGATTATGATTGGCTCCTTCCTCTGGTACCTCACGTGACCAAAGTTTGCGGCATACAATAGTGTAAAGCAACGATACTATCACCAAAGGTAAGGCAAAGCTTATTGTGGCCATGACGTGCTAAAACGTTATCCATGTGTCTAAGAAATTGCAATTATAGCATCCCTCGACTTGAGAAACTAATTTGTTTACAATTACATGTGTTGTAGAAGCCGCAGATTTCATTTTATTTCATCTATAGATATTGGAGATATTTCTAATGGCCGACTTGCAGCATAAAAGCGATTAATGGCTATTATGATAAAAGCAAACTGAAAAGAAGGGTGACATACTTATGCTCACAAAAGCAAGCTGCAAGTGGCCTGATCCAACCCTCGCCCAAACCATAGGTTTCCTAATTCAAAACTGTGGGAAATTAGAAATAACAAGGAATTTCCAACCAGCAGGTCAGCGCATGCCTGATTCAAAATTAAATAGTTGGATGCAGTTTTCATGGAGGTGTCTGTTCTTGTATGAATAATTACCGAATTGACATAAAGGGACGAAAGGAGCACAGTACTGTAAGCGATTTGCATCAGCCACACGATGAGGTAATCAGTCTCCCCTAAAATTTTTTGTCGTGTTGTCTTCGGAAAGAGAAAAAAAAAAACTGTCATCTCTGAGTCATTAACTAATCTTGAAATCGATGATATGGCCTTCATGTAGATTCTTGTGTGCAATGCAAAATATCTCCAGAGATTACGACTCATTTCTATCCGACGTAAGTACCAATTCAAATTCCTTTGAACTATAGCACAGGCTTGTGAAAACTAAGCAAACGGATCAGAAGAATTTGAGTTTGATTACCTTTGGTACGTGAATATAGACCGTAGCGGTGATAGGTAAGACAGAGATCGAAGTTTATACCAGAACTGTTAGGCAATAATGTCCAATTTCCATTTGTAGTACTTTTGTTTCCTTCCACAACCGGCTGTTTATGATCTGTGATAAAACAAATGTTTTGGTAGAAATTAAACATAAGACATAATGAGAGTAACGTCTTCTACAATCATAACATATGTTTCTATGTCTTTCAGACTGTTGTCAGTGCTATTTAAAATCTAGTCCCCCATTAGTTACATTTTACTAACGTTCGTCCCCAAGGGATTCTAAACTAGCTGCGTGGTCAATTTAACTTATTAAATATCATGGCATTCTTTTGTATAATTTCAGACTCGGCGTGTTCAGAATTTGGTCAATTTTCCTAAAGAAACATCTACGTATTGCTACTCAATCCTAGAAACGTCCAATTCACTTTCTTGCGTTTACTGAATCAGATTACAAACCACCGGAGTGCTCTGATCTGATACACCCATTATTTCAAATCCATATCTCCTTTCTCTTTCTAGAATGACTAAGATATA